TGTGTTTTTTGTTTGTTTGTTTGTTTGTTTTGGTACTTTTTCCATCTTAAGATATGTGGAACAAGAAGCCAACCATGATTCATTTTTCCTTCACTCATAAAAAACATACCCCAATGCCAAGCATATGTTGTGTTGTTATTATGTGCCATCAAGTCGGACCCAACTCATAGCAACTCCTCCTTTGGTTTCTGAGGCAGTATCACTACGGAAGTAGATTTCCCCATCTTCCTTCCGAGGAGTGGCTGATGCATATGGTAAGCACTAAATACATATTTGTTGACAAAAGGAGGGAATGGGAGTGGAACATAACTTGGTCCTTATCTCAAAGTACTAATTCAGCAGAGAATAGTACTTAAAAAGTGGCCGTTAAGGTCGTGGTCTGAATTCCAGCTTCCCCACCTACTTTTGTGAATGTACACAGGTAACTTCTCTGCACCTCAAAAAACCAAAAACCAAACCCGCTGCCATGGCATCAGATCTGACTCATAGCAAGCCCTCCTTTGGTTTCCAAGGCAGTATCACTACAAAAGTAGATTGCCCAACCTTCCTTCTGAGGAGTGGCTAGTAGGTTTGAACTGCCAGCCTCTGGTTAGCAGTCACATGCCTTAGGCACTAAGCCACCAGAGTTCCTTGTAATATGGAGATGATAATACAGGAACCTGTGAGAGCTGGAAGTTGACAGGACTGCCTTGTTTTCCCAGCTCTTGCAAGTTTTCCTTCTTTGAGAGGGTATAGTCTTACCATTTTTCTGTTGCTCCTTTTAGTGGAAAATATTTGTTTTCCATCCCTAACAGGTTTCTGCCTTACACATGTTCCAGCTTTTGCAGGTTTGATGGTATCTACCTCATAAGTAAAAATGAGACATTACATTTCAGGCCTCTACCTCAGTGTTTGGTTAATAAACATTTAGCAAGTGTAGTTCCTAGTTCCTTTAGTAATAACAACAGTAATCACACATCACTGTCTGTTTCTTATTCTCATAGGGAACTCTGCTCTTAAAGACAAAGCAGATCAGTTTGGGAGAACACCGCTCATGTACTGTGTGCTAGCTGACAGACTGGACTGTGCAGATGCTCTCCTGAAGGCAGGAGCAGACGTCAATAAAACTGACCACAGCCAGAGAACAGCCCTCCATCTTGCAGCTCAAAAGGTAAGGAGAATTACCTTGAAGATTCAGTGTTTTGTGTAGTATTTGTTATTTGGTTAACAGAACTATGCAGCTGTAGTTGTTGTTAAGTGCTTTCGAGTCGTCTCTGACTCATAGAGACCCTACGTACAGCAGAATGAAACACTGCCTGGTCCTGTGGCATCCTCACGATCCTTGCTATACCTGGGCCCATCATTGCAGCTGCTGTGTCAATCCAGTCTTGTTGAGGGCCTTCCCTTTTTTGTTGACCCTCCACTTTACCAAGTATAATACCCTTCTTCAGGAATGGTCCCTGCTGACAACATGACCAAAGTAGGTGAGACGAACTCTGGCCATTCTCACTTCCAAGGAGAATTTCAGCTGCACTTCTTCCAGGACAGATTTGTTTGTTCTGTTAGCAGTCCATAGTACTTTCAGCATTCTTCGCCAACACCACAACTCAAAAGCATAGATTCTGCTTCACTCTTCTTTATTCATTGTCCAGCTCTCACATGCATATGAGGTAATTGAAAATACCCTGGCTT